AGAAAGCATTATCTGATGTGGAAGTGGGGTTGTGGAGTATAGAGGGGAAGTCCTGTCTGCTACCTCGAGCTGCTGGTTGGGAGGCAGAGCCCCCTGCCTCACCCTATCCACCCCTGGGGGACCCCCCCCAGTTCACTCAGCGATGCAAGGGGGCCTAACAAGGTGCCCACCTAGGGCAGTACACAGGGCAAAGCCAGCTGCCCTCTCTGTGCCATGGATATTTGCTGCCTTCCTGTCCATTGACAGTGATTTCTCTCATCCTCCATCCTCTGCCTTACCACCAGCTGGCTTTGTACATCCAGGTAGGGCAAAGGAGAATTCCTCAGAACCTGGCTGGCTGTTGAGCGCCAATGCTAGGCATCAGAGAGGAAAAGAGCTGCACCCATTAGGTGTGGTCCCCCACTCTTCAACCCCTCCCTTCCCCCACATGGTTCCCAAAGAAGGGCACAGCAGGACACAACCTCAGGAATATAAATCTCATTAAAATCTAGGATACTTTAGAACTCTACACCAGGAGAGACACTGGCACAGGCAGTGCTGCCCAGAGACACTGGCACAGGCAGCGCTGCCCAGGGACGCGCGCGTTATTGCTAACAATTAGAGGTGAAGAGTAGCGGCGTGACTCGAGGGGCAGGGCACGGGCACCATGCGGGAACCTGCGCCCCTCGCCACAGCACGACGGGGGCCTTGGGACGGGGAGCTGGAACATCCTGCTGGGGCTCGCCGCCCACCACCTCCCGCCACCGTGCCAAGCTGTGCCATGTCCCTGTGCCAGCCTCGGGGCTGCAACATAGGGAGCACAAGGTGCTGGCTGGGAGGGGAGCAAGCGGGGTAGGAAGGGTTTCATCCCATCCACCCCAAATCAAGAGCTCCAAGCCCTTTGGCTGGAGCTGGAAGACAGATTTAAAACCGCCCGGCCTTTGCCAGTGCATCCTGTTCCACTAATACTGGTTGGGGACTGAGCATCCCCAGATGGCTCGGAGCGAGTGGGCTGGTGCAGCCCTTCATGTCTCCGCTGGTACCTCATGCTAAGCAGCAGCTGGGGGAGGCCGGTCCATCCTGCTCCCCCTTAGCACCATGGAGGGTCCTCCCCTGCCAGTGCTGGGGCTGCCAGGGAGAGCTGGACCTCATCCTTGTCTGGTTACCCCCCGGCCAGGCTTAAGTATTCCCCAGCCTCCTGCCCCACTGTGGGGCAGGCAGCGGCATTGGGCTGTGCCCACGCTGCTTGTGGCTGTGCCCAGCTTTGCAGGCAATACCTGGCCACCCAGAAGGGCACCCACAGACCCCAGTGGGGCCACAGGGTGGAGGGGTGCATGGAGGGGAGCATCCCAGCTCACTGCCTGAACAGCCCCGGCGTACTGTGCATATGTACGTGCCCACATATGCCACGTGTGCCCATGCCGTGTCTGTGAGGGACACACGTGTACACGTGTGCTCTAAGTGCTTGTGTCTTGTGCCGTCAGATCCCCCCGCCGGTGCAAGCAACATGCTTGCCCCTCATCTCCCTGTGCTGGCCTGGTGCCTGGCAGCACCTCCTGTGAGAGCCAGTAGGCTCTGAGCCACAGTGGGTGTGCACCCAGGCTGAGGGTCCCTGCAGCGCCAACCCCTGCCATGATGGCCTTGTGCACACACAGGCCACGGGCGATCCTGGCATGCTCAGCCGTGGTCCCACCCCACATCCTCCCCATGGGAAGGTCAGGAGGGTGCCCCATGGCAGGGCAGGCTACCTGGCTTAGGGAGGGGGGGGTGGGAGCCTGGGAGCATCCCACCCCCCCCATCCTGTGCATAGCCCCAGGTCAAGGCCCCTGCAAAGTGCCTCTGGCTCCCGGCCCTCCCGGGGCTGTGCCCCCTCCTCTCTTGTCCCAGCGTCGAGCACAAAGGTTACCGTAAACAC